GCCCGGCTTGGACTGCCTGGCCTCAGGCCTCGCTGGGGCCTTCCCTCGCGCGCGCCGGGAGACGGGCGCGGTGGCAGGCGAAAAAGGGGGGCCCGAAAGGCGGGGGCGGGCGCCAGAAGGGGCAGGCAGGGCGTGGCCTGGGCGGCGGCCGCGGCGGAGGCGGGTCTCGAGGCCGGGGCCGAATTTTCCAGCAGAGGCAGGGAGAGATCTGAGCCCGGCAAGCCAGGGCGGCCGGTCGCGCGTGGATTGGCCTACCTGCCTGGTCCCCGGCCTGGCACTCACGCACGCAACGTCGATCTGCTGCCTGCTCGCTCGGTTTCGCTCGCCCGCTCGCCCGCTCGCCCGCTCGCCGGCTCGGCCGCTCGACGGAAGGTTGGCCAGCCCGTCCGTCTGTCCGTCGAGCCTGCCGTCGTTTTCATCCGTGCGCTAGGCAGGCAGGCGAAGCTGGGCACCAAGCAAGGTGCGCACGCACCCACGCACCCCGGCATCCTTGCCGGCCTCGAGTGGCAGGCCGGCTATGGGCATGCTGCGCCTGGATCCCTCACTACTCTGCCTGCCCCCTCTCTCTCTCTCCCTCTCTCCTTCCGTTCGACCCCGGCGACGACGGCGACGAGAGATCGAGGCTGGCTTGCTTGGGGCCAAACGCTTTGCTGCAATCGACATCAGCACCAAAGGGGCCGGGCTGGCCTTCCGAAATGAACGGCAGCACAGAGCGACGGTCTCGCCCGCGTAAAAAGAGAGAGAGAAAAAGGCGAAGAAGCCAAGACGGAAGGAAGAGGCCGGACGGAGCGGGCACCAGCCGCAGCCCCACGGGCCAGCCCCACAGCCACAGGTCGCCCGCCGCTCTGGCAAGCTCGCCCTTCCTGTCTAGCCCGCTGCCTCGTCGCTCCCTTCTTCTCGCCGCGTGAATCGCCGCCTCGCTGTCATGCTTCGCCTGCCAGCCTCTGCCTGCCTGTGAGCTTCTCTCTGCTCGTTCTATCTTCCCACGAGAGGAGTGGCGGGCGGCGACGGCGGCGGCAGTCACCTTTGGCCGCCTGGCTGGCTGGCTGGCTGCCTGCCTGCCTGCCTGCCTGCTCTCATGCCCGGGGCCGGTGGGCGTGCTATTTCGGGCCGTCCTTGCTCTCGACCTCCCCTCTTGCCTTGTGTCGGTGTCGGTGCCGGGCGGTCTCGCTTTGCCCCATCCCCTCCTCCTCGTGGATCACGCCTGCCTGGATCGCCGCCTCGACGCCTCCGGTGGCGATGGAAGCAGCATCGTTGCGCTGGGCGACGGGCGCCGACAGCCGTAATCGGCGGGCCTCGACGACGCTCCCCTTGTCTGCAGAAAGCGGTCCCGATCTGCGCCGCAGCCATCTCCGCTCCCCGCCCAACTCAGCGGGCAAAGGAGACCAGCAGGGCCTCTCTCCGTGCGGTATGTCTGCTGCGGCCACCTACAGTAGCCCGCCGTCCGTTTTCCCGCTCGCGCACAGAATCCATGAGCCTATCGCTGGCCCCGTCGCCCCAGCCTGGCCCTGCTGCGGTCGGCGCGCACACCGCTGGTTGCGCTTCGATGGTGTGCTGCCTGAGGCTCAGCCCAGGCAGGATTGCTTGGCACCTCGTCCGAACCGTTACTGAAGCTGAATCGCGCGTCGATATATCCCAGCTCCAGCTGCGGAGGCGTCCCGGCTACGGACGGCGGTATCATGGCAGGCCAGGCAAGAGGTTCGGATGCGGCCCTTCCGATGGCCAATATGCTGATGAGCGCAGCGGCACGCCGCCCGCTGGAGCTGCTGCTGCTGCTGCTGCTGCTGCTGCCTGGCAGGAAGCAAGCAGCAGGCAAGCAGGAGCGAAGGCCAGGGGCTGGAACGGAACGGGCCGAGAGGGCAGAGTAGTGTGCGTTGCCATCCTGCGACGAAGGACGGACGATGCCACTCCTCCCTACTACGGTATTCGGTGGCCTCCTCCGCTCGTCGACAACGATCCTGCGGTATCCCGTTGGCCAGGCTCTGCTGGGCGAGGCCTGGCGGTGGCGTTCGCCGTCGTGGACTCTGGCTCGCTCGCTGTTCGGACTGGCTGCGACGGCGAGCGCCTCGACACGACATCGAGATGGCCCGCCTGCTGGGCTGGCCCGTACATGTTGCCCGGCGTTCGGGATGCTTCCGACCCGCGCCTGCCTGCCCGCTTCTTCGGCAGATGTGCTCCTCGAGATTGCGAGCGTCTCGCTCGGATCAACCTCCTGCCCTCCAAGCAAGCAACCTCATTCGGCTCCTCCCTTTCCATGGCCTGGGCATCTCCCCGCCTTCTCTCCCGCAGAAGCTATTCAGAGAGTTAGAAGCTTGCTCAGGGGCTACCTCTGGAATGGGCCGCGTCATTGGCCGAGTCGGGGAGTCCCGAGCTTCAGGGTCGCCACTTGGCTGCAAGCCGAAGCAGCTACGAAGCCAGCCTGCCTCGCCACCAGGCTAGGTCGAGACGGGGCAGTTGCTGCGCTCCCGACGGCGTGGCAACGTCGCTTCGGGACCAGAGCGGGAAGGATGCTAAGGCTGCCTGGCCACGGCGTGTGGTAGCCATGCAGCTTGGTTGTTTGCTTGCTTGCTTGCTTCTCTCTGCGGAACTTGCGCTGGGAGGCGGACAGCTGAGAGCTTGCAGCTGGGGTGGCGGGACCAGGCCAGGTCAGGCAAGGTAGGGTTCGCTCACGGTATCGCTGCTGCCGGCCTGGCCTGGCAACGGCATCGGCATCGAGGCCGCCTGCCCGAAGAAGCGGGTGGATAGGTGGTCGGCTCCTTCCGATGCATGGCAAGGCGGCCGTCGTCCCCGCATCGTCAAGTCTCATGGCCACCTCCTGTCGCAGCCGCTGCTCTAGCTGCAGCCATCTGCGGCGGCGGCGGCGGCGGCAACGGCCTGGATAGGCTTGGGGCCAGGCGAGGCTAAGGCTAAGGCTGAGGCTGAGGCTGAAACGACGGGGCAGCGCGTCGCGCTCCACTTTGCGCGTTGGTCGTCGGCCTGGACCGACGCAGGCTGGGGCCCTGCTTGCTTTTTTGCGCGCTTGGCCTGGGCCCGAGCCCTCCACCCCAACCCATGTTTCGGCAAGACAGAGCGAGAGCGAGAGCGAGAGAAAGACGGCCGAGGCTCGAGCCAAACCTACGATCGAGCCAGCCGAGTAGTTAGCCAGCGAGCGGCGAGCAAGCTGGCTCCTGCCTTCCCTCCCGACTGTGACGACGACGACGACAAACAACAACGACGACGACGACAGCAAGCCGCTCCGTCACTCCTTCCCGGCCTAGCGAGACACCTTTCCTCCCACACCCACGCCTCGCAGAAGCTCGAGTCACTCCTGCGGCCAGAGCGTTCCTCAACCTCCAGGCCGTAACCTTGCCGTGGTCGCCGAGAGCTGCCTAGCCTAGGCCCACGAGGACCAAACCCAGCGCGAAGCACCCGAACTAGCGCCTCGGCACCTCCGAGCCTCCCAGCGATCAGCAAAAAGGCGCCATGACCGGGCCTCAGCAGACCCTCGGGTGAGTGCCGACAGAGCAGCGATGCATGGAGCAGCAGACTACCGACGTCGCTGGCCCTCCGGCGCTGGGCCGAATCGCGGTCCGCACATATAGGCAAGGCCACCTTCGGGCGCTGACCGACCGACCGACCCCGTCCTTCTCCTCGTCGCCATGTCCGTCTCTATCTCGCTCGACCCGCACTCCACGCCCACAGCAAGTTCTTCGAACGGCCCCCGGGCGCCAAAAAGTCGCCGCCGCAGCAGCAGCAGCTCAAGTCGGCGTTCAAAAAGGGCCAGGCCAAGTCATCGGCCGAAGGGCCAACCGCCGGCCCGGGCGCCTCCAGCAGCCACAGCACCAGCAGCAGCGACAACGCTGCAGCCGCAGTCAAGGAAGAGGACGCAGCAGCAGCAAAAGAGGAGGCAGCGGCGATGCCTCCGCAAGAAAAGGACGCCGAGCGACGGAAGAAGAGTGAGCGAGCCACTGGCTCCGGTTCTCAGCATCGCCCTCGGCCCTCACACTGACTCGTACCCATTCCCTCACTCTGCACCGACCCCGGCAGCGTCGACCAAGGAGGAGCCGGCGCGCAAGAAGCGTCGCATCATCGAGTCAGACGACGACTCGGAGGCGGAGCCCGAGGCAGCCACCAAGCCAGCCGTCAAGCAAGGTGAGCAGCTCCTTTGCCCGCAGCATAAAGCCCATTTGGATCTTGTCTTCGCCATCGACGAGAACCAGCGATGGCTCAGCACAGCTCGGATTCGCTGCCCCCCTCTGTCTCCTCTGCGCGGCCCGTGTGCACGCTCACCCGTCCCTCGCATCGTAGAAACATCCAAGCCCATCCCTCTGCCACCATCGCCAAAGAAGGAGGACGTCAAGGAACACAAGGTGGCGTCAGTCTTCAACAAGCCCAAGCCGTCGACCATGGCCAATGGCGCCAAGGCTGCCGGCAAGGAGGCGAGCAAGCGGGACAGCCCGCCAGACGACGACCGCGGCGACGGCGACGACGGCAATGAGAGCGAGAGCGATGCGGAGGGCGCCGAGGACGATTTTGAGGAGGACAAGGAGATCGAGGAAGAGGAGAGCAAGAGCGCCAAGAAGCTGTGAGTGCTGGGCGGAGCGAATCGGCCCGGCGGATCACGCTCGCAGACTCCTCCCCGATAGACCGAGCTGATCCCCTCTCCTACTTCGACCTGCTTCCCGGCAGTGCCGCCATCTTCCAGAAGCCCTCGCAGGTCAAAGAGGGCAAGGTGACGTGGAAGGAGGGCGAGCCGTGAGTGTTGGCTACGCCCTGATCTGCGTCCACCTATCCTCGCAGCCGTTGCTGACGCCCATTGCCGCACCTTTCCGCCGTCTGCAGGGTGCCATACGCTGCGCTCGTCGCCGCCTTTTCCGAGATTCAGGCGACGACCAAGCGCCTCGAGATCACCGAGATCCTCACGCAGTTCCTCATCCGCGTCATCAAGCGGAGCCCGGACAACCTCCTGCAGGTCACGTACCTGTGCATCAACCGCGTGAGTGGTGGCAGGACGAAGCGACATGAGCGGGACCGGCGATGATCTGACCGACGATCGAACCGCTCCCCAAACTCCCGGACTGCAGCTGTGCCCCGACTACGAGGGCCTGGAGCTGGGCATCGGCGAGTCGCTGCTGATCAAGGCCATTGCCCAGAGCACGGGCCGGGAGGTGCCGCGCATCAAAAAGGATCTCGAGGCGCAGGGCGACCTGGGCCTGGTGGCGCTGAGCTCGCGCAAAAAGCAGCCGACCATGTTCCAGGTGTCGTCGCTCAAGGTGCCCGCCGTGTTCAAGCAGCTGCGCGAGATTGCCGCCGTGTCCGGCAACAAGAGCCAGGACCGCAAGATTGGCATCATCAAGAAGCTGCTGGCGTCGTGCCAGGGCGAGGAGCCCAAGTTCCTCATCCGCAGCCTCGAGGGCAAGCTGCGCATCGGCCTGGCGGAGCGCTCGGTGCTCGTGTCGCTGGCGCGCGCCGTCGTCATCAGCCGGCTCGGCAAGCGCGTCGAGCGCATGTCGCAGGAGGAGCTGGCCCGCAAGCTCGAGGAGGGCACCGAGCTCGTCAAGGCCGTGTACAGCGAGCTGCCGTCGTACGACCTCGTCGTGCCGGCGCTGCTGGCCAGCGGCACCGAGGGGCTGCGCGACGCGTGCAAGCTGACGCCCGGCGTCCCGCTCAAGCCGATGCTGGCCAAGCCGACCAAGGCCATCACCGAGGTGCTCGACCGCTTCGAGGGCAAGGCGTTCACGTGCGAGTACAAGTACGACGGCGAGCGCGCCCAGGTCCACTACCTCGACGACGGCCGGCTGCTCGTCTTCAGCCGCAACTCGGAAAACATGAGCGTCAAGTACCCGGACCTCGTCGAGCAAATCCCGCGCTGCCTTGAGCCCAGCGTCAAGTCGTTTGTCCTCGACGCCGAGGCGGCCGCCTGGCGCAAGGCCGAGGTCGACCCGCAGACGGGCAAGGCCGAGCCGGCGCGGCTGCTGCCGTTCCAGGAGCTGAGCCGGCGCAAGCGCAAAGACGTCAAGGCCGAGGACATCAAGGTCAAGGTCAAGCTGTTTGGCTTCGACCTCCTCTACCTCAACGGCCAGCCGCTGCTCGGCATGTCGCTGGCGGAGCGCCGCAAGCTGCTGCGCCAGCACTTTAAGCCCGTCGAGGACGAGTTTGACTTTGCGCGCAGCGAGGACTGCACCTCGGTCGAGGAGATCTCAACGTTCCTCGAGAACAGCGTCAAGGAGGGCTGCGAGGGCCTCATGGTCAAGATGCTCGACGGGCCCGACTCGACCTACGAACCAAGCCGGCGAAGCATGAACTGGCTCAAGCTCAAAAAGGACTACCTGTCCGGCACCGGCGACAGCCTCGACCTCGTCGTCATCGGCGGCTACTACGGCAAAGGCAAGCGCACCAACGTCTACGGAGCCGTGAGTCGGCCGCGACCACCCCGCACCTTCGCTATTTCGCTGCGACTGTATGCGTGCGCGACCTGCTGACACGACACGCTCCCTCCTTTCCCACCCGAGCCGATCTTAGTTCCTGCTGGCATGCTGTGAGTGACCGTCGGCCCCTCGCCACCACCACCGCCGACGCCGCGATGCTTCGGATTGCTCACTCCTTCCCGTCCATCGTCCTCCTTCCCCTGCACTCCCTATCGCCTGCAGACGATGCCGACTCGGAGTCGTACCAGTCGATCTGCAAGATCGGCACCGGCTTCACCGAAGCCGACCTCGACGCGCACTACACCACGCTCAAGGCGCTCGAGATCACGTCCAAGAAGGGCTACTACGACGTCGGCGACGCCAAGCCGGACGTGAGTCGCCGGCCTTGCCTGCCCTTTCCCTTCTCCTCCGTCTTCCCCTTCTGGGCCCTCGTCGAGCCACACTGGCGCATGTGGTCCGGGTCAGCACGCTGACGCTCTCGCTTCGGTCCCTGCTCTGCCCTCGCCCGCAGGTCTACTTTGACGCCAAGGTCGTGTGGGAGGTGCTGACGGCCGACCTGTCGCTGAGGTGAGCCTCAATGCGCTGTGCCGCTGTGGGCTGTGCAGGGCCGCACCGCTGACACGACACGATGCAACGCCCCGCCCTGGCCCTGGCCCTTCCCGTTCCTCTCCGCCCCACCTGCTATGCACAGTCCGGTCTACACGGCCGCCAAGGGCCTCGTCGACCATCGAGGCATCTCGCTGCGCTTTCCTCGGTTCATTCGTGAGTGCCCCCCCGCCGCGTTTCACTGTCGGCTGCGCGACGAGGCCAGGCGGGATGCTGATCTGGGTTCCCCTTCCACTCTCTCTCCCTCTCCCTTGCTCGCGACGCGCCTTTCCCACCGCCCTTCTGTGGCATTCCACGCGGCAGGCATCCGCGATGACAAGGGCCCAGAGGACGCTACTGGTCCTGAGCAGGTGCGTGACCGACCCTCGCAGCCAGACGACGTCGGGCGACACTTCGCCGCTGCTTGCGGGATTGGTTTCGCTAAATCCTCTCCCGCGCACTCTTCCGCCCACTCCGGATCGATTCCACCAGATCGAGGCCATGTACCGCGCTCAGGCCGTCAACAGCAGCAAGGCCAAGGGCGGCGACGACGACGACGGCTTCTGGTAGCCGCACCGCGCCTAGGCGAACAGCTCGTCGACCCGCCTCGTACCGCCCACCTCCCATGCCTCGGCTGGCCCGCCGCCATCGACATCCAGATGGGTCGTGTCGAGCCAGAAGGTCGACCGTGTCAGCCGCGGAACCACCTCGACCCGCTCCGCCGAGTTGACAGTGTGGGTCTCGCACGAGGGTTGGGCGCCATCGCCGATGCCGCCGTTGTGGAGGTCGTCGGGAGGAGGAGGATCGGCCGGAGAGAGCGTGACGGCGGAGCGGGGCGTCCGCGAGAGTGCCGGACCGACGGGGCGGACGACGACGCTGGGCAGCGTGAGGCAGCCTGGCCGCAGCGGGATGAGCTGGACGGTGAACTTGGTCTCCCTCGGCAGCGCGGGTGATGACGACGACGAGGGGCGAGGCGGCCGTGGCACCGAGAAGGCGCACCGCTTCAGCCCACTCACCAGCCAGCACTCAAAGTCGGCCGACACGTCGTAGGTGAACCGCTGCGACGTGGGCTGGGCCCCTCGTGCGTCGTCGCCGTCGTCATCGTCTTCGTCGTCGTAGCCCCAGTGAAACGATGTGCTGATCGAAACCTCGACATCCACCGGCCGGCCGACGACGATGGTGGCCTGGAACCCGGGGCGCGGGCACGGCTGAGCTGCGGGCTGCTTGTCGTCGATGCGCAGCGTGACAGAGTTGACGATAGACATGGACGGCACATCGACGGGGATCGTGAGCAGCCGCCAGGGTTGGGGGGCCGCAGCAGCAGCAGCAGCGGCGTCGCTCGAGCCGTGCGGCTCGCCGGATGGCACCGCTCGTGTCGTCGCGATACCATCGCCCACGGCGTCAACGGTGGCGGCGTCGGCGGCTGCGATGACTTGGAGCGTAGCAGCCGCGACCCGCACCGCCTCGCGGCCGCCGCCGCCGTCGTCGGGCCAGGTGGCGCGTTGCCGCCTCCACCACGCGGCGTCAAAGGCGCCCGTCCGCGCCTCGCCCGTCAGCGAAAAGGCGGGCAGGTCGAGCTTGGCATCCACGTACTCGGCCAGCGCGCGCTCCAGCAGAGTCCTGGCGGGCGAGTCTGGACCGAGCAGACCCTGGTGCTGCGCGGCGGACGTCGAGATCTGGTGCGCCAACGCCGATTGGGCGATGGCCTTGGCCTCGTCGTTGAGCGGTCGGTAGCGCAGCTCGAGACGCAGCCGTCGTGCTGGCCGCCGTGGCCGATGTTGCGCGCTCGTCGCCTCCCCTGTCGCTGCCGCCGCCGTCGACCCCTCGTGCCGGCGCTGGATGCGAAAGAGGTACGATGCCGGCTGCCGCGGCGTCACGGTCGTCGTCTGCATCGTGCCGCAGGCGGAGACCTCGAGCTGGTCGGCGTCGTCACTGCTGCTTTCCTCTTCGCCCTCGCCTCGGCCGAGGCGGTCGACGGCGAGCCTGGCCGACCGGATGCGCAGCGAGCCCGTGCCGCCGGTGCTGATGACGAATTTGGAAAAGAGGCTCGAGGCCCGGAAGAAGTCCTGCAAGTTGACGCCGAGCGGCAGCGAGATGGTGAGGCGGCAGTGCTTGCGCAGCGTCCGCCTCGCGTTGGTCCGGGCGCCCTCGGCAGGTCGGACGACGTACTGCACCGCGATGACGAGGTCCATGCCGCCGTCCTGGCTTTTGGCGACCAGAGGCAGGCGGAGGCGGACGACGGTCCTCGGCGCCTGGTCGACGAGGCGGATGGCATCGCGGCCTGCCGGCCGTGCGTGGGCTGAGCTGTCGCCGTCGGCGCCGCTGCCGCTGTGGCTGTCGATCCGGGCGCTGCCGCTGCTGTGCCCGACCAGCTGCGCCTGGGCCACATCGCCGACGACCTCTCCCTCGGCCGTCGTGATGCTGATCTCGGCCGACTCGATGTGGTTGCGGCCGGAGTGCAGCGCCACCTCGACCTCACGCGGGCGGTCCAGGTGGATCTCGTGGGGCAGGCCAGCATCCACGTCGATCGCGCCGCCGTCCTTGGGGATGGCGAGCAAGAAGCCGCTGGGTTGCTGCTGCAGCGATGCCTGGGCCGGGGGCAATGGACCATGGGCCCCAGAGGCTGCGACCGAGGCGGCGATTGAGGCGGCCGGCGAGGCGTACTGGAAGATGAGGCGGGCGAGGCGGATCTGCGAGACGTCGAGCGCAAAGGTGCCGTGCGCCGGCGTGCTGCAGAAGAGCTCGAGGTGCGTGACGCCGGGACGCAGCGTGGTGCGGCCGGTGGTGAACCAGAGCGCCTGCTTGTTGGGGCCCACAAAGCACAGCCGGACATCGTCGACAAACAGGTCGAAGCCAAGCGAAGAGGCGACGGCCACCCGGATCGTCGAGCCGTCCTCGACCTCGGCCAGCCGTGCGCGACGGCTGATGGGCCGGATGGCGAACGATGGGTTTCCGGCCACCGGAACCTCCTTGTCGAAGGTTGACGCCGCCTGCCGCAGCTCCTGCAGCAGGAAGCGCGGGTCCTGCCAGAGCTCGATGCGCCGGACGTCGTCCGCCTGGGCCACGTCGAGCTGCGAGGCATCGATAAGCGGACGGCCACGGTCGCCCTGGCCGGCCCGCAGCGCGGCGCGGATCACGCTGACCCATGCGCGGTCGCGCGGCTTGCCCAGCTGGCGGTGGCACTCGAGCTGTCGAGCCAGGAGGTGTCCCTCGATGGGCGACGAGCGCTGCTCATGGTAGAGCTCGGTGAGCGAAACGAGGGCCGCATAGGCCTTGTCGAAGCGCTGGCGGTGGAAGTCGAGCGCCGCCAGCAGCGTCTGCATGCGCAGCACGCCGCCCTTGCGCCCGCCGCCGCGGAGGCCGGCGGCGATGCGCTCGACCAGCGAAACATAGTGCGAGTCGAACAGTTCGCGGTCCTCGATCGCCTGGCGCAGCTCCGGCCGCGTAATCTGTGGGTACCGCACGTCGTCTGCAGCCTTGCCGTCCGGATCCGCACCCAGGCCCGCTTCGGCCTCGGCCTCGGCCTCGGCACCTGGCGGCAGGGGCGGTAGGTCCCTGGCGCACGGCCCAAGCACGCCCTCGTCGTCGGCCGAGAGCGAAAAGGGCTCCACACCTGGGAGGTGGCCGACGGCCATGCCGAGCTTGTCGAGCTGCCGCCGAGCCAGGTCGAGCAGGTCGGCCTTGGCCGTGTGGAAGATCGGGCTCAGCTGCTCTTCGACGAGGGTGCTGGTGCTGCTCGTCGGACCGCCAGCGGTGACGGCCATTGCCAGCCTGCCTTCGAGCCGCGAACGCGCAGGGCCGCCGCCGCCGGGGCCGCCTGCCGTCGACAGGTCGCCGCGCTCGACGAGCCAGGCCTGGCACTGCTCGACGACGTCGAGGGCCGCGGAAAACGACCAGCTCTCGACCATGCGGCGATCGACGCGCGCGTTGCTGCGCAGCATGCGCCGCATGGCGCCGATGAAGAGGGGCGCCTCGCGCATCACCTGGACCACGCGGCCCAGCTTGCCAAGTAGGCTGGCTCGGCGCGCAAAGAGGTAGCAGCGGAAATCAAAGAGGGTGATCTCGCGGCGGCGGATCAGCTCGTGGTACGGCTTCTTGGCCGTCGCCTCGAGCAGCGGCAGGCTGTCGTCGCCGCGCGCATCGCCGCCGACGGGCGCAAACGACACGTGGCCGCCGAGCAGCGCCTGCTCAAAGACGTTTTCGAGGTCCTCGTACTGGGCGACGGCGTCCTCCTTGAGCCCGACGCCCTCGAGCGTCTGGGCTAGCGCGTCCTTTGCGAGAAAGTGCGAGCAAAAGTCCCACTGCCCCTGGCCGCGGCCGAGCTCGCACCGCCGGATCTCGTCCTGCTGGGCGTCGACGGTGCTTGTAAAGGTGGACGCGACGCCTTCCTTGAGGCGCATCAGCAGCTCGGCCCAGATGGTCGGGTCGATGGCGTGGGCGCCGGGCCGCGCCGGCTGCGACGACATCGGCGGCAGCCGCGTCAGGGTGACGACGTGCTCCTTTTTCGACGCGTTAAAGTCGGTGCGGATCTTTTCAATGACGCTGCCCTTGCTCTTGCTCATGAAACGGCCCATGCCGGTCTTGGGCTCCGAGGACGAGGCGGAGCCAGCGCCCGCGCCCGCGCCGCCCGCCGACCCCCCCCGCCGTGTAGCCCTCGGGAGGCGTGATGACGACGATCAGGTACTCGGGCTCGTGGTTCGATGCGGCGGGGGCGGCGACCGGCAGCGAGCTCGTCCTCGGGCCGGTGGGCGTGCCAGTCGCCGTCGTCGTGCTGCCCGGTGTGTCGCTGCGCACGGGAGGGGTCGATGAGCGGAAGGAACCGAGGCCAAACGAGTTGCGCGACGGCGCCGGGGTCGGCGTCGACGTCGGAGTAGAGGCAGAAGCAGAGGCAGAGGCAGAGGCGGCCGCCTGGGCGCTCTTGGAGTGGAAGAAGGAGAGCGACGAGATCCAAGAGCGGATCTCGTTGCGGACCGTGGTGCGGTAGTGGTCGTTGTCCTGCGGCAATGACGCGGCGAAGAGCGGTGTCAAAGGGCAGCATCCGAGTCAGCTTCCATCGGCCGCGCAGAACGGTAATAGCTGCAGTGCCAAAGACGCCAAGAAGGTGAGAAGCCTGCGGAGGCTGAGACGTCCACTCACCTCGCAGACGACCAGGTAGAGGTGGACAAACGGGCGGTCCAGCAGGCCGCCGGGCGACGCGTCGTCAAAGAAGCCCGCGTCCCCGCGCCAGCGCTTGATCTCGTCGGTGAGCGGGCGCAGCGCGACCTGGAGCGTCTGGATGGTGCGGATGACGGATCCGCCGGCATTATGGCCGGGCCTCGCCGCCGCCATCGAGGAGCGGCTCGACGACTCGGCGAGCGACGGGCTTGGCCGCCAGTGGAGGGTGCGGAGGGGCAGCTGGTAGGCGAGCGAGCTGACAAAGTGGTCGGTGAGGGGCGACGCCAGAAGCGCGCTGTTGGCCGAGTAGGTGACGATGACCCTCCCGCCGCCGCCATCGGCGCTGGAGCTCCCCGCCGAGGCCATGTCGAGAGGGCGCTGCGGGCGGGCGCTGCAGGATGGGGGTGCGGGGCAAGCGACGTAGGCAGGCCCGCGAAAGTGTGCCTAGATGGAGTCCAATAGCCTAGATAGGCGGGATATCAAGGCGGCCGGTGGCAGGCTACGGCGACGGGAGCATGCTATCTTCGAAGCGATAAAGGCTGGCAGCCGGCACGGCGATCGAGGATTTGGACGTCAAAGCAGCAAAGGTGAGCAAGCGACGAGGGGCGACGACGGGTGGAAGCGAGAAAGGAGAGGAACGCTTCGCCTTTTGTAGGGGCGACTGCAATGGCGAGGGTGACGGCGAGGGCCGAGGGCCGAGGGCGAGGGTCAGGGCAAGGGAGATGGCGAGGGTGAGAAGGAAGCAAGAAGGTGAGGAGGGCCGGGTTGCGGTCGCGGCGTGTGCGGTCGGGCCACCCTCCTTCGGGTCCTCCCGCAGCGCAGCCCCGCCCCGCCCCGCCTGGCCTGGCCTGGAGCCGGGGCCCAAGCCAAACGGGCTCGGGTCGCCCGAGATCCGATCGGCTACGCTCCGAAAGGCCAGGTCAGCCAAACCAGTCAGCCAGCCAGGCTGGCTGGCCAAGCCGGCGGGCACGCCGACGACATTCCTGTCT